ATTCATATTTTTCTTGAGTATTTTGTTTTGTTTAAAAACCAACTTAAGAAGTTGAATATAAATATAATGGTTTAAGAATATAAAAAATACTTTTCTTCTTTATGCATCCTGATCACCATTGAAACTAGGGCTTTCAGGAACAAGCAAGACAAGCCAGTTCCTGCCTTCTTCTCTCTCATTGTATCTGACACTGTTCCTAGTGGTCCATTTATGTCCCTGAACAGCTGCAAAGGATATGGGTATGAGTCCTAGCAAAATGGTAGTAAGATGCATAAGGAAGCCTTTTGATTCCTAAACAGTTTAGCTCACTTACAGAATTTCTCACTCTACTCATTACAGCAGAAAGGCTGAATCAACACAATGGTAGCCTGGTAGATAACCCTAGGGTTTTGGCCAAAAATTGCCCTCAGCATGCAGTCTATATGGCTTCAATTAATCTAAGTAATTCAGAAGTAAACTAACCTCTCTGAAGTTTATTGTATTTGTTTTGCTTTATTTGTTGGTTTTCAGAGGGAGGGGCATTTGCATCCTAATCCTCAAAGAGAAATGTTTGGTTTGGTAAACGTTTTAGTCTTTGCAGCAAGAAATTAACATGTGTTTTTGGATTTTAAATTAATTCTGACATTTTCATGGGCTTAAATTGACTCTAGGAATGTCCAAAGGTGACTCTGGGAGGTCAGACTTTTGAGTAGTAAGTACTGTTGTCCTTTATGACCTCTCTTGTGTAAGTGATCTTCCTACTTTGGCTACCCAGGCAGTCTCCTCTAAAAGCCTGGCAGCTCATGGTCTTGAGTTGGAGCTGATGTCCTTAATGCTCATTCTTTCAAGTCTCACTTCAAAATGAACCCTACGCTCATTTATTTTGTAGAACAGAATTCACAACTGATGCAGCCCTTATACATTTTAAAAATGGTATTTGTAGTGAAATGCCATAGAAGTAAAGGTTCTAGATAAAGTATCATTTTAAAATGCTGCCCATACACATTGATTTTGCAAGAGTAAATCCAAACAGCAATAAAACAAACTAAATTTTCTGTCTTCAATATTCTTACATCCTCAACTAAACAAAAATGATTTAAGCACAAATTTAACAAGTTAACTAAATAAATGCTACTAAAACCATGAGGTGGTATAGTAGAAAGCCCAGTAGTTTTTAATTCAAATTGATATGGTTTCAAATATCAGCATTATTATTTCCTGGCTGTCTTTCCTTCAAGAAATTAAATCTATGTGAATGAGACTTCTTCTATGAAAAACAAAGATAACAATACATATCAGCAAGGTTGTCATGAGGTTAAGAATAATATATGTAAGATGTGTGACACATCTAAGGATTCAATAAATGCAGTTATTATCATTGTAGTGATTTTTAATGCTTTCATTTCATGTTCTTACCTTGTGACTGAAGTTGAATTAATTAAACCTGTTATATATAAATCAAGTGAATTCATAACACCATTGCTCATAAGTATATTTAAAATAGTGTGAAGAATAGAAACATATCAATAGAATTAAGATTTATTACACCAAAGAATAAGGGCACGTGAGCATACTAATAGCAGTATACTTAGTAGAAGTTTAAGAAGCTGGCAAAATATAATTAATCACACACATTTTCAAGAGCTGTCGCATACTTTGTCACAAGTGAACTATTATAGAGAAACTCAGTCTACTTCCATGGCAGGTCCCCTGGCAGGCATGGACTTCCCTGTAGGACACTCCTACATCCATTTTCGTATAAATAGACATTGAAGACAAATCAGTATTTTTTGATCATTTGCGCTGATTGCTTTTAATATCTGTTTTTAGCCAAAATTTTTTCCACTTTTGAAGGTAATTTTCTCATAAGAATTTTGGTTGGTTGTCAGTGAATTTCCTTCCAGACAGGTTCATAGAACCCACCCCTCCACCACCAACCAGATTAGCTTTAGAGAGTAGTTCTGTATCAGAAGTCAATAGGATGGCTACCATGAGGGTACCATGTGAAATTTCTGTTATTTGTGAGTAATAGTTCGTAATGATGACATGAGTGTGCCCATAATTATTCATATTGCCCGCACAGACTTTTGGAATCATCACTCTGGGTCACAGAATGTTAAACTCAGTGAAACTCCGGAAAGGTGAGGCCGGCTTTACTTGGGTTGCAACTTCTGTCTGACGGGTTCTCAGCGGACGTGATGTTAGTACTAGTGAATCCAGATTTTGGTATGTTTATTTAAAAAGCCAATTCCTGTCAAATACTTGTTACCTTTTCTTCAGGTTAAGCTTTTTCAGTTTTCTTACAATATTTTAAAACTCCATTTCCAAGCCTTTAAGTATCCATATGTTTCTCTGAACCTGTTATGATTTGTGACCCACAGGAAGTCTAGTCTGAAGCAGTTCAAAAGTTCCCCGAATCTACTCTTCGCTCTCTGGCTACATGTCTTTTCATGGCTGCTTTGTTTTTTTCTGACCTCTTTGCCTTTCACTTCTATATCCATTCCTATACAGGTGTGTTTTCCTTTGGTTCTTGGGAAAACATTGTATTTGAGTCAAGGTGTTACCAGATAAAGCTAAATTCATAGATGGTTCAGATTTCTTGGACATTTAGGGGGCAGCAGCAAGCGTGAAGGAGAGCGGTGATTGTTCACCTATGGGGTTTCTCAGGAAGCACACCTGGTCTGCTGACTTACAGTACTGATCCACAACTGGGCACTCCACTCTAGAAAGAATTTCACCTTTGCTAAGGGAAAAGGCACCATTTTACTTTTTTAAATACAACTTGAGGTAGTACACCTAATATTTTGTTCTCACAGGGTACTTAAAGATATACAGTATTTTTCAGGCTTAATTTGAGAAAAGGCAAGGTGGATGATGTATTTAACAATAAATTCAACACTTTTTCCTAAAATACTCTTTTCATTTTACTCCCTCAAAAACCCTGTTTCTCCCTGTCATCCTCTATCTATCTAATCTCTCTTCACATTACCCTAAGCGCAGCTTCTCAACTCCATACCTTTGGACATCATTGTTGATTCAATTTGAAATATTTTAAAGAATGTTCTAATACACTTCCATTTGTTTGGGTGATTCCTCTAATGAGCATGCCTAGATTTTTAGAAGTCATAAACCATGTTCTTTTGTACCTTTAGGATATATCCAGAATCCAGAATCCAGACAGTTTTTACCACCTTCATTGCTATCATCCTAGTCTAAACTACCATCGTTTCTCACCTGGATAATTGCAGTTACCCCTAATAGGTCTCTTCATTTTTATTATGCCTTCCCCCACTGCTGTCTTTCTCCACACAACAACCAGAATGGATCTTCTAAAAGATAAGCTAGATCTTGTTACTGCCCTGCTTAAAACCCTCCAGTGGTGTCCCATTTCAGTTGAGTAAATGCAAAAGTCCACATAATTGCTTACAATGCCCTTCGTCGTCTTGCTCCTCTCTAACACCATTTACTACTCTCTCCTGTGTTCTCTCCACTTCAGCCACACTGATCTGTTTGTCTTAACCAAGCTCATCAGGTGCTGTTCTGCCTCAAAGTCTTTGCATTGCTGCCCCTTCTGCCTTGGCGTCTGTAAGGCTCATTCCATCACCCTCTGTGGGTTTCTGTGCAGATATCAGTGAGGTCATCCCAGAGAACTCTAAGTAAAAGTACAGCACTCACTGTACTTCTTAGCCCCATCCTTGCTTTATTTTTTTCACAGAATTTATCACCAAAAGACATGCTATATATTTTCCTTTTTTTCCCCTTTTCTCTTCATAGAATATATGCTCCATGAGAGCAGGGTTATTTGTTTTGTTCATTGCTATAGCAGAGCACCTCGCACATAGAGAATCTGTCAATGAATACCTATTGAATAGATGGATCAATGTATAAATGCCCATCATGCTAACACTCTATGTGTGTAGTGTTAAATTATTTGTTGGATAAAAGGCATTAGGTGAGATATTGTTGGGCAATGAGGAAGAGTCAGATATATTTCTTACAAAATTTTAAATTAGTAATGACAGTGAGAGTCACAATTTTCCTAAGTATGGACACATTTTGACCTACTATGTTTAGATGAGACATGTAAAATATACTGGGTTACATATTTTGCTCTTTAGACGATTTCAAAGGACAAGCCTTTTCAACCAAACAGCTAGTTATCAAAGTAAATGTGGCATCACAAGAACTCTAAGCTGTTCCTCTATTTATGGTTATTTAGATTAACTGAAAAAGGGTCTCAATGGCAAGTATGCTTTAGAAATTTCCAGAAGATGGAAATCAATTTACTTGGTATAGCTTAACTATTTTCCTAATGCCCAAAGAGAAGAAAATATGGGCATTTGGGGGGTCTTTCTAGTCGTAAATTGGAGGGATTACTTGGCGAAGTAATTCTTGACCCTGTGAAGTCATTGAGTGCCAAGATCATATCAGGGTTGGATGCAGATGATGATGATGATAATGAAAGTAACAATACCTAATGGCTAATACTTTTTGATGCTTACGTGTAAAGACACTGTTCTAAGTGGTTGCTTGCATGGATGTACTTAATCTTTAAAACCATCTTGTAAATCAGGCTTTATTCCCATTTTGTGAATGAAACAACTCACACATGAAGAGGTTGGATAAATAGCCAAAGTCACACAGAAAACATAAATGACAGAGATGGAATTTGAATGTTTGGATTCAGAGTTCTTTCTTTCTTAACCCCCATGCTATATTATGCCGGTCTCCTCCCTGGAGCATAAACAGAACAAAAAAATGTGTGTGCATGGTCGTGTGTGTGTGTGTGTGTGTGTGTGTTAAGGGAGAGCACATGCCCACTTATCTGGGCATGTGTGCACATGTGTGTATGTGAGTTGATAATGCTGACGGTACCATGTTAATGTTGAACGTGAAAGTGATTAGCTCTGAAGAGAATGAAGGTAAGGAAATAAATACCATTGTTAAGACTTACACATGTTGCTGCACTTTATCACCATAGCAACCTGTATGAAGGAACAGTTTCACCTCTTTTTTAATAGGTGAGCTATCTGAGGATCTGAGAATCAAGAGCCCCTGCCTTGGATGAGGCCTTGTCCAGGCAGTGGCAGTGAGACTGGGAGAAACATCTCATCTTGCTCCCCGGGGATAAAGCTGACAGCTCTCCTGGAGATGTACAGGAAGGCATTTTGGCTTCAGATCTTCTGAATCAAGGTATTTGTATGTTCCCTTTGGGGTTAGGAGTGGACACCAGCCAAGAGATGATGCTGGCTCAGTCTAGGGCTCTACAGTCTGGGGCTGGAATTGCCAAATATTACATGAGACATACTTAAGTTGAAAATTACTTGTTGTTATTTGAAACTTGAATTTAACTGGGTGGGTGTTCTGCTTTTTAGTTGTTTTTGCTCCCAACTCTACCTGTGGCTTCTATACCCCTGTCAGAAGTGCTGACCAGATCACAAGAGCAAAGAGAGACGGTGCTTTGGCCTTTGTGAATCCTCATATGGGTTCATCAACTCTTCATTCATTCAGACATCATACACAGAAACGGTGACTAGCTGCCAGGACCAGGCGGCGTGCTGGGCTCTGAATGAGACTTGTGAATGTTCTCTCCCAGGGCTTACAGTATCTAGTACTCAGATTTTAGTGTGTATTATGATCATCTGAGAACCTGGTTTAAAAAGTGCTGATTCTTAGCCTCAACCTTAGAGATTACGATTCTAGGAGTAAAACCCGAGATTTGTGTTTTTAATGAACACTCTAGGTGATCTCGAGGTAGGGGATCTTGGGGGCATGCTTTGTTAAGTAGTGGTCTAGTAGATGGAAGACTTCATCCAGAAATTACAAGTGTAAGTAAGAAATACTTCTCAGTGAGTCTTATATACATTGTGTGACTTGAGTTTCTTTAAGGTGTTAATGTAGATATAAAGTAGTATTATACTTTTTATATTACTCTCAAATGGAAGTGTCTTCTGATAAGATATAGATGAGTGTGCTAGCAAGTGGGAATTGGCTGTTGAGAAGAGAGATTGTTCCCAGATTTCTGATCAGAGCCTCAAGTCAAGTGAAGTGTGATTTTCTTACAAAGTAGTTTAGACCTTTAAGCCACAGTCAGTTCTACACCAAGGTTATATATGAAAGCCTTGTTTCTGGAAGGAGAAAGTTCACCGTGTTTCCCAGGGTTAAAAGCAAGGGCCTTCACCTGCAATTTTTCAGACCAATTCTATATTTCAGGACACTGTTTGTGATACTGATAGGGTACGTGCAGGCTTTTCTGTACTCGTTGAACACTCTGACTGCTAAATCCTCTACAAAGTCAAGTCAAAGCAGTGAGCATTCTGGGAGGGATGCCAACAACAAATTGTAGTAATCCAGCCTTGTTGTTATAAAAGCATGAATCAAAAGCTCAGCATCTTGCTGAGACAGCAATCGTCTTAACCTTGTTATACTCTTGAGATGGTAATATGAGGTCTTATCAATATGGTTGATATGGCTCTCAGAGGAAGGCTGAGGGTCAAAAATGGCTGAAATTTATCATGGAGAATATTACTTTGTGGGATGTCCAGCTATAGAGTTGCGACTACCTATTAAATCCTCTATGAAGTAAGAAATATATGGTCTGCTGCCTACAGGAGAAGAGAAGGGGAAGGAGGTAGAATCAAAAGTGAAATAAAACTGGTCAAATGAGATGAAAGTCTGATATCTTAATTTTCAGCTGTAGGCAGCAGGGTTTGAGATTACCCTTTAGGCAGCTTCTGATTGAGTGGGGATTGTTCCATGCCATGAAAAATTAAAGGCTCTCTGGGTGGCTGTATTTTAAACGGTGAAATCTTTTCAAAGCAGTTTTGTTTTTGTAATCAAGTCTAGGCTGTGTTCATATGAAAGCAAGTGATAGTGACCCAGACAATGAATATCACTTAAATGAGTTTAGAGAGCAAACCTACTGTGATCTATGATGTCTGTTTCTTTTATTTGAGCTTTATGTCTAGCAACTTTCTTAGTAAGAAGTCAAACCAAGATTGATGCCGAGAAGACAGAGCTTTCTTCAGGAATTGTCATTAAGTATTCAGTTCCAGCTTCACGTCCTCCAGGAAGAAGGGCACTATGCAGAGCATTCAAAAGCCTAAGCTTTGAAGTGAGAAAGTCCTGGAGATGAATCCCAATGTTGTCAATTCCAAGTTGTGAGACCTTGAGCAAGTGACTTAACCTCTCTGTGCCTTGGCTTTATTACCTATAAAATGCAGGTGATATCAGTACTTGCCTCATAAAGTCTTTGTGGAGATGGAATGAGATCATATATGCAAAATGCTCTCCTCAGTGCCTGGCATGTGGTATGCACCTGATAAATATTAGCAGTGGAGAATTTGAGATGCTCCCCCAATTCCACCTCTCATTTCCTACTCAGGTTCTGAACAAATGGGAATCTTAGAAAAAGTAAAGAAATAGAATCTCACCTTATTAATGATAGAGAAAAGTTGGAGAATGCAGTTTAGTTTGAAAGACAAATTGGCCTGCTAAATATACCCCAGCATTAGGGAGACTCACCCCACCTGTTGTGGCGGCACCTCCTGGGCTGGGCTTCCCATGGGAAGAGGAAGAAGAGCAGAACATGCTTGTCCCTACAGGAAGCTCTTTGTCCTGAAGAATGGCAGAACTGAACTGAGCATGCCCAGATATTCTTTCAAAATTAACCAGAGACATCATTCTATATTACCAGAGCCTGAGTGAGTGAAAGGTCAGAAGTGAGAAGGGGTATGTTAGATAAAAGTCTTCTTCATGGAAACAAAGACTAGGAGAAGAGATTCCCAGCTAACATAAAATGTTATCATCATCATCATCATCAGTAATTCATTTCTATTATACTTTCATTTAATTCAATATCACCTTCTACCTTTATCTTTTCAAATCATACCATAGCTGTATTAGTTTCTTATTGCTGCTGTAACATTACCACAGACTTAATGGCTGAGACAATACACTTTTTTTTCATAGACTCTAAAACAAAGGCCATAAAGAAAGATGAAGAAGGACATTTTATAATGATTAAAGGAGTAATACAAGATGAGGGTATTACACATTTTTTTCTTGTACACTCTGGAGGTTAGAAGCCATAATCAAGCTTGATGGACTAAAGTCAAGGTAGTGGCATGGCTGATTTTTCTGGAGACTCTGAGAAAAAAGTCATTTCTTTGCCTTTTTCTTGTAGAGGACATCTGCTTGTGGCTCTTTCTTTGCATCATTCCAAACTCTTGTTTCCATCCTCACATCTGCTACTACTGTGTTTGACCTTCTCTCCCTCTTACAAGAACCTTGTGATTATACTGCACCTCCCCAGATAATTCAGGGTGATCTCCCAACTCAAAATTATCAATCACATCTACAAAGTTTCTTTTACTATGAAAGGTAACAAAATCAAAGATTTCAGGGATTATGGCCTGGGTATTTTGGGGGAGCCATTATTCAGCCTATCACAATGACGTTTTGATGATTTTATTTTGCTTGGATCTATTTTCTTGTTATTGTGTACAGCATCCTTTTAAATATTTCCTGAATCTGGCTGTAAGTTCCTCAAGGATAAGAATCAAATCTTCCATGCTTTAATATTTTCTACTCTGTTATATCATGTGCTCAAAGTAAACAATGCTCATAATAGGCACTTAGTAAAGCCTACTGATTTAAATACTCTTAAATCACAAAGTCTTTAGAATGGAAGCGTGAGTCTGGTCTACAGATGTTCCAGAAGGAGCATAATCTTAGCTTTGACTTTTGAGTCTTTAAACAGTCAGACTACATAAGAAACGATGTAGAGTGAAGCATTAGAATTCACTTGTTTTCCAGAATTCTCACTGTTGGACTGTAGACAGGCCCTGAGTCAGTCAGTCAAGTGTTAAGATTTAACAGAAATCCATGGGGTTATCCCTGCCACATTCTCCTTCCTTCTGATAAAGAAGAGAAATGTTGCAATTCTTGTGAGTGGACGTGAAAACTTACACCGCACAATTTGACCTGCTCTCCCCGTTAAACTTTGAGGGGAGGATTATTACACAATGGAATTTGTTTCTGATTTTTGCTGCAGTGGTTGATAAGACATGTACCATTACTTGAAATGAATACAGACACCAACTAATTCTCTCTCTCAGACATAGGTACATCTCAAATGCATGATTGCTCATCACTTACAGACTGAATTAGAAAATTATGGAGACCAATATGTAATTTTAAGATATTCAATTTACATTAATAGAAATCTAAATGAACCATAGAATTAACTTTAAAACAAATAGTCCAAATCACAGTCATAATTTTAAAAGTTACTGATGCTATATAGCATCCTCTCACACATAATATTTTGGCATATAATTAAGACAAAAACATTGTCTTTGTCCTTAGTCCTCAAAGTTTGCAATTGCCCTTTTGTACTTGACCTGTGCTACCTTCATATCTTTCTCCTCCCTTCTTGAGTTTTCCTCTCTAGAATGGGAGGGTCTGAATAGTACAGCTGGAAAGGACCCTAGAGGCCATATTTGGACATTTTACAACTAAGAATGGAGTTCTAGAGACATTAATTGACTTGCTTAAGGTCACATAACTATTGGCAGAGCATTATTAAAAAGCCAGTTCTCCTAATTCTCTGTAAAGGTTTTCCTCCCTCTGTTTAGGTAAGATAATTTGAGAGTACAGAGGAATAAGATAAATAATCAAGTGGTAAAGCAATGGAGGGTGAAAGGATTCTGGAAATACCGTGGCTTAAAGGAGAGACAGTTCTCACTCAGTCACCTACTTTCTAAAGCTTATCACTCGTTAGAGCAAGAGGAAGACATGCTTGCTGTGGGGCTGAAAATAAGGTGAAGTATATAGTTCTGATAGAGTGCTGGTTGGGAGCTTCTCCCCTCTGGGTGGAAGGAACTCCTGAGAACTGAGATCACACACAGGACCTGGGGGAAAGATTATAATAAAAGGATGAGTAAAGAGATACAAGGGAATTGCAAAAATAAAAAAGAAAGAGAAAAAGAAAACAGGTGTGGCACTAAAAGGAACTATGTTAATAGTAGAAGAGGTTTGTAAAGTTAAAATCACTACTCGAGACAGAGAGACTACTTTGCAGTAATCAAGGATAAAATGAACAATTTATAGACTCTGAAGCACCAACCAGCAAAAGCAGCCAAAGACCACATAAAAGCTAAATATAAAAGAAGTATCTATTAGATGTACAA